CACAAGCATCATCATCATCATCATCATCATCATCATCATCATCATCATCATCATCAACATCAACGGCAGCATCATCGTCGCCATCATCATCGTAATGAGAATCCTCCTCATCATCAGCAGCATCATGATCATCATCATCCTCATCCTCATCCTCATCAGCCTCGTCGTCATCATCATCATCAGCAGCAGCAGCATCATCTGTATTAGCATCATCGTCATCATCATCAAAAACATCGTCATCATCATCATCATCATCAGAATCGTCGTCATCGTCATCACCAGCATCATCATCATCATCATCACCATCAGTATCATCATCATCATCATCATCATCATCATCATCATCAGCATCACAATCATCATCATCAGCATCATCATCTTCATCCTCATCATCATCAGCATCATCATGAAAACCATCATCGTCGTCATCATTATGGGAATCATCATCATCATTAGCATCGACATCATCATCATCATCAGCAGGATCATCATGGGCATCGTCATCGTCATCATCATCAACATCGTCATCCTCACCAGCATCATCATCAGCATCATCATCCGAATGATCAACGTCAGAATCATCAGCATCATCATCAGCAGCATCATCGTCACCATCATCAATATCATCATCATCATCATCATCATCATCATCATCAACATCATCATCATAATCATTATGGATCCTCCTCCTCCGCGTCCTCCTCCTCTTCCTTCTCCTCCTCCTCTTCCACCTCCTCCTCCTCCTCATCATCAGCATCATCATCAGCATCATCATCGTCGTCATCATCGTCATCATAATCATCACTATCATCATCATCATCATCAGCAGCAGCAGAAGCAGCATAATCATCGTCGTCATCATCGTCGTCATTACTCGCGTTATCATCGACGTCATCGTCATCATCAGCATCAGCATCATCACCATCATCATCATCAGCATCATCATCATCATTACCAGCATAAGCATCTTCATCAACAGCAGCATCATGAGCATCATCATCCTCGTCATCGCCATCGTCATCATCATCATCATCATCATCATCACAGTTCCTTATCCTGCTTCTTCTGTTCCTCCTCCTCCTCCTCTTCCTTCGCCTCCTCCTCCTCCGCCTCCTCCTGCTCATCATCATCATTATCGTCATCATCATCATCGTCGTCATTATCGTCATCATTGTCATCATCATCATCATATCCATGTTCAGCAGCATCAGTATCATCATAATCAGCATCAGCATCGTCATCATCATCAGCATCGTCATCCTCATCATCGCCATCATCATCAGCATTATCATCAATAACATCATCATCATCAGCAGCAGCAGCATCATCATCGTGATCAGCATCAGCATCATTATCGTCGTCATCATCATCATCATGGATCCTCCTCCTGCTCCTCCTCCTCCGCCTCCTCATCACCTTCCTCCTCCTCCTCCTCTTCCTCCTCCTCATCCTCCTCCTCTCCCCCTGCATTCGGGCAACGCGGAAAAGGACACCACACGGGCGTCTTTGCCTCGTGTCGCCAAACACCCACGGATCGGTCGGGCTCAAGAAGTACCACTGGCAGACGATTTCGAGGGCTGCAGTCATGATTTGTTCACGACGTCGTTTTCTTTTCACAGTGTCCGATCTCGGGACCTGGGCCAGACAGCTGTGGACCTCCTAGAAGCTCCTGGAAGCTCCGCCCCCTCGCCTCGAGGTTAGGGAAGGAGGGGAGGAGGAGGATGACCTGTGGCACGACTGTCGTTCTCTGTCGCTATCGCTTTCGCTCGTCGTCGTCGTCGCCGTCGTCGTCGCCGTCGTCGTCGTCGTCGTCGTCGTCGTCGTCGTCGTCGTCGCCGTCGTCGTCGTCGTCGTCGTCGTCGTCGTCGTCGTCGTGGTCGGTCCCCTGTCCGTCCCTCTTGCGGTCGGGTCGACGGTCCGCGGCCGCCCCGCCGATCAGCGCTGCCGCTGGCCAGGCCGACGGTCCGCGGCCGCCCCGCCGCTTGCCGGGGCCTGGCCTGCAGGGAAGAATAGTATACCCCCCAAAAGGGGTTCGATCGAAGACGAAGAGGGCGGGTATCGAGGCTTTGGGAAATACCCGTTATTGGACACTCGAGCAGACAAGGGCGAACAAACTTCAAATGATTGTTGCTGTTGCTAGGGAGGGGGAGCGCCGGGGCCTGGCGCCCGCTCATACTCAACAACAACAACAACAACAACAACAACAACAACAACAACAACAGCAACAGCAACAACAACAACAACAACAACAAGAACAAGAAGAAGATGAATAACAACAACAACAACAACAGCAACAACAACAACAACAACAACAACAACAACAGCAACAGCAACAACAACAACAACAATAACAAGAACAAGAAGAAGATGAATAACAACAACAACAACAACAACAACAACAACAACAACAACAACAACAACAACAACAACAACAACAACAACAACAACAACAACATCAACATCAACAACAACAACAACATCAACAACAACAGCAGCGACAACAACAACAACAACAACAACAACAACAACAACAACAACAACAACAACAACAGCAGCAGCAGCAGCAGCAGCAGCAACAGCAATAACAACAACAGCAGCAGCAGCAATAACAACAAAAACTACGACGACAACAACAATAATAACAATAACAATAACACTATCAATAACAAGAACAAGAACCAGAACAAGAACAATAGCAATGACAACGACAACAACGACAACGACAACAACAACGACAACGACAATAGCAGCAAACGCGCCTACGGCAGGCTCCTGTCTGGACGACGAAGGCCATGGCTTCTGACACCTCGTGACCAATTTCATATGAAACGATAGAAGCTATCGACACCATTCGGTACGGGTTTCGCGCCGCACACTGTGTTCTGCAGGCCTCGCGGCCCGAAACGGTCCCGCGGCGTTCCACCTCGCACGCCCACGCCGGCATCGCCGCCGCGCCGAGGTAACGCGAGCCCGTCGCAAGCACGGCTCCGAGATCCACGGCGCGAGCTTCCTCCGGAACGGAGCGCGAGGCCTCGGCCTGACAGACGTCGGAAAATCCTCGGACGGGCAGCGCCTTCCGGGCGGTCCGTGCCGATCTCAAAGAGCGCACCGCAAGCACTAACGAAGGCTCGGCGGAGGCGGGGCGGGGAGCGCGGGGAACTTTGGGGCGCCTCCTGCGGCACGCACAACCAGCTGTGGGTGCGGAGGGGGGACCTTCCAAGAAAGCAGGGTGAGCATTGGTAGGAGGGCTCGGAGGCTTCGAATATGGTTTCGTCTCTTCCCAGGCAGGAAAGCTTCCAACAAGCCCCCAGCCTTCTTCAGGGGCAATGTTAGGGGGGACCAGCTCAGGGGGGGGGGGGGACATCGACTTGGAATTGGCGATTCATCACCGATAGATCGGCGATAGGCCCCCGATGCCAAATCCGCACGCTCCTGGGCGGGGTGGGCCCATCGGGCCCCTATCAACAATCCATGAGTCCATGGGCGATGGGGGATCGACGCCTGCCCCCTGAGCCGATCCCCCCCTGACGCTGTGCTTGACTCCTGGAGGAGGCGCACCCCCCCCCCTGGATCTGCCCCCCAGTGCGGCGCCGCGAGCCCCACTCCCGCGCGCCAGGCGCGACGACGAGGGGGCCCAACCTGCGAGCCAGCGGGCCCGCCAAGGGACCCAGGACGGCCCTCGCGGGACCGCGACGGAGCCGACTCGTGAGAGGGGCCCCCTGGGCCACGGCCTCACCTGGGCCCGCAAGTATCCCTTCCCCCCAGCGCTACCACCAGCACCAAGCTCAAGTCACCGCTCCCAATCCAACGCTTCTGCGGGCATTCGGCGGGCAAGCCGTCCCGCGCCAGCGGCATCCCGCCCCGCCGCTCGCCCGACGGTGACCCAAAAGGGGCGGTAGCAGCAACAGCAAAACAAAAATAAGCATGAGCATGAACTGTCGGAGGTCCGCGCGTATTCCTCGGGGGCGACCATGAAGGCGAATAGCCCAGGGAGATCACAGGTATCCAGGGGCGGCGCTGGTCTATGCCTTCTCGGAGGCGCGCAAACATGGATTAGCGATCCATGGATTTGGTGCGACGTCGCCAAATCCATGGATCTGGGGAGGTGCCCTCCCCAGAATGCGGCCAGTGCTGCCTCGTTCGGCGGCGGAAATTTCAGATTTCCCATGGCAACGGGACCCGTCGCTAATCCACGCCCCCTTGATCCATGCTTGCGATCGCCTGATGAATGTATCCAGGGGCGGCGTTGGTCTATGCCTTCGGCGAGGCTCCCGAGCGAACACGTGCACTGCTCCTCCCTGGGCTATTCGCCCCACCGCCGCCTCCGAAGTTCCTAGATCGGCGCTGGCGCCCACTGGCGGCCCCTCTGGCGCCGCCCCTGGTGCAGGGGGGGTCCAGCGCCGACCCAGGCAAGCCGCGCGGACCTCCGAAAGCCAAAGTTTTATGCAACTGCTTGCTTAGAGCCCTCCTAGATGGGGTCGGAGTAGATGGGATCGGAGGATCGCGCCGCATCGCCGATACATCGGCGATGCATCGGCGATGCATCGGCGACGTCGACGTGAAGCAAATCGGGCCACACATCGAGCCGCAACGCCGATGCATCGGCGATGCGGCGCGATCCTCCGACCCCACCTACTCGGGCCCCATCGAAAGAGCTGCTCCCCCAGAAGCTCCAGGGAGGACCCCACGGCCTGCAGAGAGCACCCCTTCGCGAAGCCGGGAGGGCTCCACGGTGTCTGGGAAAGGAGTGGAGCGAAGAAAAGCCGTGGACACCCTGGACCAGGGACGCCTTTGGCAACCCCCGGCAGGACACGTTCGCGGCCCAGCGTGCAGGACCACGCGGGCCGCGGCAAATTAGTTTTGAAATCGGCCCGCGCCGGGCCCCTCCTCTGCAGAGGGGACGGCGGGGCGAACCCCTCAGCTGACAGGATTCATTCTGGCACAGATGCGGAGAGCAAGGAATGGCATCAACATAAGATGTCGGAGGTCCGCGCGGATTCCTTGGCTCGGCGCTGGACCCCCCGTCTCTTCGGGGCCGGCCAAGAGGGGGGCGTCCACGAGGGGGGGCGCAAATCATGGCCGGCGGCATGTTCGCGGCCCAGGTGTGGGAAGGCAATGATGTAATGGAATAAGCAGGGGCGCCATGAAATCTGGGGAGCTATCATGGGCCCCGCCATCACCCCCCTCTTGGCCGTCGGGGCGCCATGAAATCTGGGGAGCTATCATGGCCCCCGCCATCACCCCCCTCTTGGCCGTCCCGATCCCTGGCGCCAGGAGCGCGCCGCAAGGGGGTCCAGCGCCGATCGATGAGATCCGCGCGGACCTCCGAAGGCTGAGGAGTATGTCCGCACTTGTTCCCCGGAGATCAGTAAGGAGAAGGAGGAGGAGGAGGAGGAGGAGGCGGAGGCGGAGGCGGAGGCGGAGGCAGAGGACGTAAAGGTAGGGTTGGGGCAGAGGTGGGGTTGGAGGAGAATCGCTCTCAACGGCCCCTGGAGCAAGAAACTGAGCATCCAGCGGAATTCCGTCCCTGACCCCGCCTTGGGAAAACCCCCCGCCTACGAACCCACGAGAATATATATATATATATATATATATGCGGCCCCCTCCAGGGGCGCAAAGCTGCGAAGGGGTGCGCGGTCTGCTGTCATGCGTTATATGCTGTCATTTGTTGTTTGGCCTGTAGTCTCTCCAGTCCTGGTTCCTGCCTCCTGCTTACTATCTGCTAGGGGGCCCCGCCGCGCACCAAACAGCCAACGTGAGGGGGGGAACCTCAAATCCTGGCTGCTCCAGGCCACCCGAGGATTTTCTCATTGTGACGCCACCGCGCGGCCAGAACGGCCCGAGAGGCCTCCAAGATTGTCCGAAGAGGCTCCGAAGAGAGCCTTAGGAGCCCAAGACGGCCCAAGATGGCCCCAAAATGTCCCACGATGGCCCCAAGACGGCCCAAGATGCTGCCAAGACGGCCCAAGAGGGCTCCAAGAGCCCCCCCAAGAGGGCACCACGAAGCAAAAGTCAACGATTTCCCCGACGTTTTTGCGGGATTTTGGCCTTCTCGCCTTTTCGGCTTTCTGACGCTCCGAGACGGACCAAGAGATTCCCAAGATCGCCCCACGACGGCCCTAGAATCTCCCATGACGGCCCAAAAAAAGGCCCTAAGACGGTCCCAAGAAAGACCCAAGAGGGAGTCCACGAGCCGAAAACTCAACCTTTCCGCCCTGAGAGGGCCCCAGGAGGCCCCAAGAAGGTCCCAAGAGGCCCCAAGAGGCCCCCAAGAGGCCCCCAAGAGGCCCCCAAGAGGCCCAAGGCGACCCCCCAAAGACCCAAAAATATACCCCAAGAGACTCCAAAACGGCGTCCAAGAAGCTCCAACAATGACCCGCAGACGCTGCCGAGAAGCCTGCCACGAGAAGCACCCACAGCGCTATCCACGCAGCCGCACGCACGTATCAGGGGAGCCTCCGCCTCCTCCTCCTCCTCATCATCATCATCATCACCATCATCCTCCTCCTCCTCCTCCTCCTCCTCCTCCTCCTCCTCCTCCTCCCCTCTCCTCATCATCATCTCATCATCATCATCATCATCATCCATCATCATCATATCATCATCATCATCATCATCATCATCATCATCATCATCATCATCATCCATCCCCCCCCCTCCTCCTCCAACACTTCCTCCTCCTCCTCCTCATCCTCCTCCTCCTCCTCCTTCTCCTCCTCCTCATCCTCCCCCCTCCTCCCTCCCCATCCTCCTCCTCATCCCCCGCTCCTCCTTCCTCCTCCTCTCCTCCTCCTCCTCCTCCTCCTCCTCTCCTCCTCCTCCTCCTCCTCCCTCCTCCCTCCTCCTCCCCATTCCTCCTCCTCCCTCCTCCTCCCTTCCTCCTCCCCTCCTCCTCCTCCCTCCTCCTCATCTCCTCATCCTCCTCCTCCTCTTCCTCCTCCTCCTCCTCCTCCTCCTCCTCCTCTCCTCCTCCTCCTCCTCCCCCTTTTTTCCCCCCCTCCTCCTCCTCCTCCTCCTCCTCATCCTCCTCATCATCATCAGCATCATCAGCATCATCATAATGCTCCTGCTCCTGCTCCTCCTCCTCCTCCATCTCCTCATCCTCCTCACCTTCTCCTCTGCCCCGTCCTATTCCTCATCCTCCCCCTCTATAGTTTGTACTAGTGTCGCATTCGTCTAGTAGTATCTTCTAGTACGATCATGCTTATCAGTAGTAGCACGAGTGTTAAGATGGTTAGTAGTGTCGTTCGTAGTGTTAGTGCTTTATGATGGTTAGTGGTATTAGTATGTGGTGTTAACATAGTTGTATTAGAGATACCCGTACTCGTGCGATTCAAATGTAGTGCCGTTAGTAGTTAGTAGTCTTAGTAGTGGTGTTAATGTTTGTGGTACCCGCCTTATTACGATTACTATAGAGATCGTAGTATTAGCATTAATCATGTAATTCGTCTCGGTCGCGTTCTGTGTAGTATTGTTCGTCGTACTCGTCGTCTTCATATTTTGCGTGGTCGTAGCAGATGCCGTCGCAGTCGTCGTAGCATCAGAGTGGTCATTCGTAGTATGATTCCGCCCTCCTCCTCATCCTCAAACTCCGCCTTTTCCTCCTCCTCATCCTCCTCCGCCTCATCCTCCTCCTCCTCCTCCTCCTCCTCCTCCTCCTCCTCCCCCTCCTCCGCCTCCTCCTCCTCCTCCTCCTCCTCCTCCTCCTCCACCTCCTCCTCCTCTTCCTCCTCCTCCTCCTCCCCCCTCCTCCTTCCTCCTCCTCCTCCTCCTCCTCCTCCCCTCCTCCTCCTCCTCCTCTGCTCCTCCTCCTCCCCCTCCTCCTCCTCCTCCTCCTCCTTCTCTTCCTCCTCCCTCTTCCTCCTCCTCCTCCACCTCCGTCTCCTCCTCCTCCTCCCCCCTTTAGGCCTCTTCTCGACCCTTTCCCGGGGACCGTTGTTTTCATCCTGGGCAGTCGTCCAAGATGGCCCGTGAGGGCTCCGATGCGCAACAAGATCGCCCCAAGGCGCCCAAAATACCCCCCCCCCTTCTCCTCATCGCCCGCCCCCCCCCGATAGTCCTCCTTTGAATCCCACGACGCTACCCGCGCAGCTGCCCGCACTCGTGTAATAGGGGGCCGACGGCAAAGGGCGAAGCCTTTATTTATATGTGTATATATATATGTATATATATAAAATATTGTATATGTGTGCACTTGTATACACATGAGCAAATACAAATACATATACGTATACATGTACATATGCGAAAACGTGTACGTAGATCGGTACACTTACATTATGTATACATTTATATACATATGCAACTTCATGGGCGTATACATACACATTGACATATACATAAACATGTTCACCTACATATACATATACGTATACATAAACATATACATATACACATACATATACGCCTACACATACATATACAACTACTTATGCACATACAAATACCAATACACATACCTACACAAACATGTACCTATGCAAACAGCGTTACACAGATATGTGCAAATACAGATAGATAGATATATATATATATATATATATATATATATATATATGCACCCCTATACATATACATATAATATATATATATATATATACTAGAACCATCGCGCGCGCTTCGCGCGCGCTCAAGTTCTAGCCCAGGCCGGGGGGGGCGCTGGACGATCTTGGACAACGCTATCAAGCACAGGCGCGCGACGGCATCTGAGGAGCTTCTGGGGTGTTCCGCATGCTTTGTCAACTGGCTGTTGGAGGCACCTCTTGGGTGCCTCTTGGGGGGGGCGTCTGCAGATCCCTTGGGGGCATCGGTTCTGTAATCTGAAGTCGTCATTGGCCGTCCTTGCTACGTGGAGGCCCGACTTGAGGCCACCTGCGGCCAGATTGAGGCAATCCGGAAGCCTCCCGGGGGCCTCCTGGAAGCAGTTTTGACGCATCGAGGGCACTCTTGGGCTATTTTGAAACCTCTTGGACGTCTCCTAGGGGCCTTTTGGGCCCGCGGAAGCTTTTGGGGTCCTCTTGCCGCCTCATGTGGGCCTTTCGGGGGGAACGCTCTGCTGTTGGGTCGCGTTCCCCGTCTTGGGCCTCTCTTGGGGCTCTTGGGGCCCTCTCGGGCCGTCTTGGGCACCTCAAGCACCGTCTTGGGGCCCTCGCGGGCCGTCTTGGGGCCCTCTTGGAGGCCTCTTCCTCTATATTGGAGCGGTATTGGAAGCCTCTTGGGCCGTCTTGGAGCATCGGGATGCCAAAAGGCCGAAAAATTCAAACCCGTCAAAGCCCAATCGTAAAACAATGAGTTGTGCCTCTTGGGGCCACCTTGGGAGATCTCTTGGAACCTCGTCGGCCCTCTTGGGAGCTTCTTGGGGGGCCTCTTGGGACTTCCCGAGAACCTCTCGGGGTAGAAAGCTCGGATTCTCAGTTCGTGTTTCCCTTCTTGGGCCTCTCTTGGGGCCGTCTTGGGGCCCTCTCGGGCCTTCTTGGGCGCCTCAGGCACCGCCTTGGGGCCCTCGTGGGCCGCCCAGGGCCCTCTTGGAAGCCTCTTCGGCTATCTTGGAGCTGTCTTGGAGGCCTCTTCCTCCTCCTCGTCCCCCTCCTCCTCCTCCCACTCCAGCTCTCTCTCCTCCTGATCTTCCTCCTCCCCCTGCAGCGTGTTCCGGAAGGCTCCCGCCGGAACATGCTGTGCACAAGTGCTGTCACTGCTCCCGCCACAGTGCCCTGGGTGGTGGGTCAGAGGCCTCATGGGTGTTGGTTTGGATCTCGTGGTTGGCCTGTCGGGGACGTCGTGAAGGCAGTTTCGCAGCTTCTCGGTAGCCGTTTTGGGACCGTTGTGGGGCCTCCTCGGGGCTGTTTTGTGGCCTCTTTAGGCCTCGTTTGGGCCTCCTGGGTGCCTCTTGGGGGCCTCCTGGGGCCTCTTGGGGGCTCCTTGGGGCCTCCTGGGGCACTCTTCAAGCGGGAGGGTCGAATGTTGGAGTCGTGGTCCCCCTCTTGGGCACATCTTGGGGCTG